GGGTATGTGCGGGTGTCAGACAGAGGCCTGACGCCAGTGTGAAAAAGTCCCGGGTATAGCACTGTGGAGTCACCTCCTTCCCTCCGACCCCCCACCCTCCGAGGCTGCAAGGGGTGAGGTTCCCAGAAGATTTTTCCTGTGCCAACACCCAGGATGGGCTGAGTGAAGCCATGCAGATGTGTCACCTAGAGCAGGTTGAACGGCCACCATTTCTCTATGGCTCCACATGCTTCTTCCTCTTCTTCCTCCTGACTCCAGCTCTCATTTCTCACAATTGGTTTTGTCAGATTCCCTTGGGATCTGTGTTAAGAACCCTGCCCGAGTCCCTCTCAATCTCCTCTGCTGTTCACAACTCTGATCGCTAGAAAATAAATAAATGGCATTATTGGGTTTATCCCTATCTCCTCCAGGAAAAACAAAAATGCTGAGCATGACCACCCCCCCTCCCCCAAACGCTGACTCCCATGACCCCAACTGGTCAATCTGGGTCTGGGCCACCCAAATATGGTATCTGTGGTCACGACTTTCCTCTGGCTGCGTCGGATGGTCATTCATAAGGAAAAAAAGCCCAGGTTTTCTCCTCTCCAAACCAATGTGCACTCTGCGGAGGAACCTGTCCCAAGACATGCTAGCTAATAGCTACAAGATGCTGCCTCCTAGCCCCAATTCTGCAATGTGCTTGCAAATGTTATTACACTTGTTGGACACGGTTTGTTTTCAACAATCACAGTGCTTTTTTTTCCCCCTTTATCCATTTAGGAGCACACCATGGTCCGATCCATGCTGATTTATTCTCAGCTTGTTTATCAAGAACACAAAGCATCTTCCCCTCACTGCCCGGGGTGCTGTGCATTGATTTCTAGGTTAGACAAGAAAGGGACGGAGTCCCAAGGCCGGGAAGGCTGTAGGAGGCAGGGACACGGGGAGAGGCGAGACACCCCAATGCATGGCCAAATGCATGCAGGTCCCCTGTTCGAAATGTCCATTTTATTTTATTTTACTTGAGCTGAAGTGCTTGTGTAATTTTTATTTTTTAATCGAGTCTTCGTGAGATACACAGTTACAAAGCTGTTCACGAGCAGGTGTCAGTCATCCGATGATCCAACACCCCTCCCTCCACCAGTGTCCATAGAAATTTTAAATCTCTTCCTCAAAGCAGTGGCAGGGCATCAAGCACCTACAAACTCCTTCCCCCCCCCCCAAAAAAAAAGGAAAATCCAAATACTATCAAAATCCCAGTTGTCTTAGTATCAATTCATTGCCAATTTGCATCTGACCTCAATGCCACCAATACTGCCCCCACCCCAGCCGCTGTGCCCGCACAGAGTCCCACAATGCCCCTCACATGTCCTGCACAGGTCAGCTCAGTCCTACAGCCCTGAACAAGGGGGCTACAATACTCCTCACTGCACAGACGGGGCTCTGGGGATCCGAGAAGGTAAATGACTGGTCCAGGCGACCATCCCTGGAGAGAGGCAAAAAGAGGATTCCAGCCTCCCGAGCTGATAGATTTTCTTTTTTTCTGCTCGAAAAGCAGCTGTTCACGGACTGATATGCCCCACCTCCCTGGCCCCATCTCGGCTGCCACGAGACTCGACCAGCTCTTCATCATCATCAATAAATATTTATCAAGTACCCACGGTCGACATGGCATTGCTCTTGTTTCCACAGCAACACGCTGTCAGAGTCATGGGAGTATCCTGTGCTTAGAAGGATGACGCTGTAATGTCCTGTGATCAAGGCTCTGAAAGGTGACAGCTAGACTACTACAGCGGACGCGGGCTCAGCTGGCAGCCCGGGGCCTGTCGGAGCGGGGCTGGGGATAAGCAAGGAGAAATTAAGGAGAGGAGAAAAGCAGAGGCTTGTCTGCCCAAGGACGGACTGCTGGCACTGAGAATGTGTTTGTGACTGTTGCAGAGACAGAATCCAAGCTGGGCGCGCACATGAATCATTTCTTTTATTAGGCAGCAAATCAAGTCATCCAGGACAGAAAGTAAAATCTGACTGTACTGCTAACAGTTCCCCAGAGGTGTGTGGCAATGATTATGGAGTTCAGTGACTGCTGTGCTAACAATGGGATCTCCAATTGGTCCCTCTCACATCCGTTTCTGCTTCCGACGCGACGCACCAGCGCCGAAACACACAAATAAATGGGTTCATCAGCCCATCAGACAATTGTTTGACTTTTTCTCTCTCCCCCCACCACTGCCCCCTATCCAAATTGTGTTTTGTCACACTCTTTACAGACTGGTTTTTAAATGCTTTTGACTACCTTTTCAGAAAGAAGGGAAGGAAGGAAGGAAGGAAGGAAGGAAGGAAGGGAGGGAGAGAAAGAAAGAGAGAGAAAGAAAGAGAGAGAAAGAAAGAGAGAGAGAAAGAAGGAAAGAAAAAGAAAGAAAGAAAGAAAGAAAAAAGAAAGAAAGAAAGAAAGAAAGAAAGAAAGAAAGAAAGAAAGAAAGGAAGGAGAGAGAGAGACTCATGAAGCAGAGTAAGAAAGCAATCTGATCATATATTTTGCCCCTGGCAACAGACCAACCACATTACAGCAAAACACATCAGCCCAACTGTAGGCTACATGTAAGCTTACAAATTGAAATTACATTTAATTGGGAATTTGAAAACTAAAAGACTGTAGAGCACATCGCTGAAATGGAGTTCTTTATCCAAACTTGGTAAAAGTTTTAAATAAGAACAAGTAAATCAAGCTTTATCATATTTATCTTAGGTACAGATTCCAGCAAATTGTAGCAAACGGAAATAAAGCAAGAAGTCCATTTTTTTTTGAAAGCCAGCATTTGGAGAATTCCTGCATTTACAAAGGTAGGTGTTCATGAGGAAACCTGAAAAAAAAATTTTTTTTAATTTAAATTGCCCAGTTAAACCAGAAAGGACCGCAGAATTGCAATGTATAGAAAAATCATCATCTTCAGAAGCAAAGAGGGCTTAGCATGCACCAAAGCTCCAGCACAAATTAATCCCACTGGGGTAAGGAAACCATGAACACACAGCATTGCTTCTAAGCACGCTCTATAGTAGGCTCGCAGAAGCCAACAGGCTCCAGTACAACCTCCAGAACCAGGGCACAGAACCATACATTTCTTCCCCAAACCCTACTCCAGGACTGCTTTTCCTTCCCATGTGTTCGGAAGAGCAAACAAAGAAAAGGTGCTTGCTCCTCACACTTCTCTAAATGTTTTAACAAAAGGCTGCTGAATAAACACATTACTCATTTAAAAATTGAAAAGAAGTTCTATTCCTGAGATGAAAGCCACCAGATTTGCATTTTAACAGTTGTGGGCGAGCGCCACCTGGCGGGAGCATCCGGAACCCGCGAGCTCTCCGCGCTTCACGCCGCTGCTTCCCCGAGTCCTGACCGCGTCCCGCTGGCTGCCCAAGAACGTTTTGAGCCGGTGGTGGCGTATTTTAGGTACTGCTCGCGCCGAGGGATTATGAGTACTATGATTGTGCGGCCTGGGTGGTGCAATCTACCCAAGCATCTCTCAATCAAGCACCATGGCCACGTGCCCAGTCTGCCAAGCGTCCTTCCCGCGCCTCCGCTCTTCCTGACCCCAAAACGGGGGGGGGGGGGGGGGGGGAAGAAAGGAGAAGCGGGTGGCACGTGGGGAGTGGTCCCACGGCTGTCGCTCTGCTCGCCTCGCTAATGCAACCGTTCAGCATCGCACACCTGCTCGCCTAACTTCCCCTCCACGGAAGCAAGGTGTCCCTTTGCAGAAGAGCTGGCCTGGGACCCCCAACGGCAGCGAGACCCCCGTGCATCTCCAGCGGGGCGTGCCACCCCACCAGCCGGGCCCGCCTGGCGCGGTTACTCTTGCCCTCCAACGGGCTCGCTTTTGGCTGCCTGCTCTCCGTACCTTCCCTCTTCTGGGTGATCGCGGGGGAGGCACCGCTGTCGCTTAGAATCCAAAACCAAGCCTCCTCTCAAGGGCCACTTGCCTCGCCCGCCTAAGCCTCCGATGCCCGCAACCTCAAAACCCGGCGGCGAGGACGCACCCAAAGGTGCTAAGAAACTTGAAGGTGATTCGAACTTGGAAGCAAGCGACCAGCATCGCGTCCTCCCTGCCTCTCTCCCGCCCCTGTGGGGCTGGCAGCTGCCTGCGGCGAGTGGGGTGTGGTGATGGGGAAGCCCCAGAACCGTGGGGCTCTCCTGATCGTGCCCGTTTAACCACTGGCCACCTACGGGGGCTACCCGCCGCCGCACCCCTGGACCTGGAAGCACTGCTTCTGCTCATCATCCTTCAAACGGCCATGCCCAAAGAAGCGTCCCCCAAACTTTTCAGGAGCAGACCTGCTCCCGGCGGACACTGAGATGGACCTCTAACAGGGGCGCCCCTTGGCTGGCAACCCCAGGGGGAGGCCAGGGGTTGCCGCTTCCCCGCGCTTCGCTCCCGCGCGCGCGCACACACACGGCCTTGGCCGGGGGTCCTCGGGTGGGTAGTTTAGGGGTGCGGGATGGGGAGGGGGGGGTGAGAGCCAGTCCGGAGCTGGGTGCGTCTCGGGGGTGGGGGGTGGGGGGGAGGCGGGAAAAGAACCGTCGCCTCCGGGCCTGCTGGGAACCCGTGCGCCCCGCGAAAAGCGCGCGTTTCCCTCCCCGCATCCCACCCCTCGCCGACGCCCCCCCAAAGAAGCTGCGGCGGCGACGAGAACGCTCCACCCCGGGCGTCGGTGCCGCCGCTCCTCGTCTCGCCGCACCCCCCGTCCCCACCATCCCCCAACCCGGAACACTCGAGTGACAGATTCCGACAAGTGGGAGGCGGGCGGGCGGAGATGCCCGCCGGCGCCTCGCAAAGTTGCCGCGCGGCCCCGGCGACGCGGCAGGAAAGTGACGCGGGGCACTCGGGCCGATGCCGGGGGCGCGGGGGTCCCGGGGGGCGCGCGGGGCCGGCCCGGCGGCGGCGCCCGCACAACTTTGGGGTCCGATGGGGGGACCCCCTCCCCGGGACCCCGCGCGGGCGGGCGGGCGGGCGCGCTCGCTCACTCACCTGCGGCGCTCTGCGCGCGGGCGCCGGGCAGCCACGGCCGCTGCAGCCGCAGGAGCAGGCACAGGGCGAGCGCGGCGACACTCGCCATCCGGACGGCGGCGGGGGGCTCAGCGCCTTCCCGCGGGCGCCGGGGCCGGGAGACGGGCGGGCGCGGGGCGGCCCCGCATCGCCGGCGCGGCCGCTGGGCTGGCGGAGCCGGCGCCTGTGCGCTCGGGAGCGAGGCGCGGCGCGCACTGAGCGGGAGGCTGGGCGGGGGCGGGACGCGGGGGGCGGGGGGCGGTGTCCCCCGAGTCCTAACGCCGCCGCCGCCGCGAGCACGCCCGCCCGCACGCCCGCACGCCCGCTCGCCCGCGCCCCGGCCCCGCCGCCGACTCCCGCACGCCGCCCCGGCCGCTCGCGCAGTCACGCGCCGCCCGCACCCGCGCGCCCCGCGGGGTCCTCGCCGCCGCCAAGCATCGTCGGCCCGGCTGGGGCGCAGGTACCGGGGGCGGCGCGGGGAGGCGGGAGAGGCGGGTGGGGTGGAGGGCGGGGAGCGGGGATGCGGGCGGGGTGGGGGCGAAGCCGCCGTTTGAACTCGGAGTGGGAGAACAGGTGAACGGTGCGGGGGTGCTGGGGGCGCGGCCGGCTCCACTCGGGATGGGGGTGGCGGCGGGGTGGGCGGCCAGGTGACGCGGGGGCGGGGGGGCGTCTGCAGTAAGCTGGAGTGGTGAGTGGGGCGAATGCTGGTGGGGTCCCGGGCACACCCTCATCCCCTGGAATGAGCGTCATCGGATCCTGGAGTCGGCATCCCCCTACTCCACCTACACACCCCCGGCGTGCGCCCCCCCCCCCCCACCCAACACACACACACATAACACAGACACACACGTAGAATCACTCTTCTGGGCTATTCTTCATGGTTGCTGCAACATCCCCCCCCCCATCCCCATCAGCCACTTCAGCGTCCCTCTCAATCACCCACACCTTTCCCTCGTCCCCACTCCCGCTTCAGCCAGGGCCTGAGACCCCCCCTCACCCCCACCCTTTCGCTGCCTTCCACTCTCCTCTGGAGACCCGCAGACCATGAAGCTCCTTTTCCTTCCGGTCTGAACAAAGACCATGTCGGACTGCAACTCTGAAGCATCACCCGGACAGACTGAGCGCTGGACCCTATGAGCCAGCAGGCGCTGTGCCCTCCCAGGGTGCAGGGTCCCACAGACACCAGGGGCTGCTTGAGCCCTAGGGTGGGGCGGACCCTGTATTGTGAAAGTTGGGGGTCAGGGGCACCTCAGCCCTGCTCAGGAGAGCCCCTTTTCATGACCCCAAATCCACCTGTGTCAGCACAGCCTTTCCCCAATCCTTTATGGGGCCTCCAAAGACAGTACTGGAACCAAGCCCTTTCCTGTGGCTTATAAAAGGCAGACATACCCAGGGATTCCCAAAGTGGGGACTCTGGATGCTGGTTGGAGCTGCCATGGCAGAGAACCAAGGTGTTGCCTTCACACACACTGTTCCCATGAGGACCCCTTGAAAAGAGACCCTGGTCCCCAAGGCATCACACTACCCTATAGTCCTGCAAGCTCCTAGTCTCAAACTCCCCAGACGCCCAAAGAGGGAGCAGGAGGAGCTTGGGGCTGAATCACTTACTTACAAACAGCGGTTGGAGGGCTGGTTCTGTGTGCCCTGAGAGCTAGTCTCTAGTCTCTAGGGTCGCCTGGCCACCTTGGCATCTCGGGAATGGGACATGTCCAACCCAGAGCTAAGCTACTGACCAGTTTCTCTCTCCAATCCCCAACCCCAGATGCATTCACAGGGAGCCCCGGCCCCAAAACGCGCACTGGAGCCTGTGTGTGGTTGGTCCCAGCTGACCGGGGCAGAAGGGAGGTTTCTAAGTCACCACGGAGCCCAGGCGAAGCACTCGCCCCTTCCCGGCCCCCTCTAGCTCCTGCTCATTCCCTCTCAAGCTTTCTGGAAGAGCAGATCCTATAGCATCTTCAGAGAACACTCACTCCGTGCCCTCCCATGCCCTCTGGTCCACGATTGCCCCATCCCTGTTTCAGAGGTAACCACAGCACAGAAGAGAAGTTGCTTCTGGGCGGAACCACACCCTCCCAGCTCTTCCTGACCCACCCACTTCATTCCTCCTGTGGGGTTGGGGGGAGGAACCTGGGGGCTTGGGAGGAAGGGAAGTTAGTGGCAGGCTCTCTGCCCCAGGTCTAGGCTTGAGAGACACATGGCTGCCAGGCCCCTTCTGCCCAAGGCCTGTTCCAAGACCCTGAGAGGGGCAGCACCCCCCCACACACACGCAGGGGGAACCCAGGTGTGACTGGGAAGGAAGAGCGGAGTGCCCATGGCCATCTGCTCTGGGAGCACAGGATGTCACGTTCACCCCTTGCCAAATGAGGCTTGGTCAGAAGGACATCAGGCCTGGGATGAGCTCTGTGCTGGTAGAAGGGGCGCTACCCTGGAGCCCCATCCAGTCCTAGAAGGCCTCTGTCCTCCTGGTGGCACTGTCCTGAATACCACAGGACCTTTGGACTTAAAGGGGGGGATGGTGGGGAAAAAAAATGCCCCTGTGCCTCAGTTTCCCATTCCTCACCAGGCATCCCCTTCAGCACCGACAGGCTTCAAGTGTGAGCTGTGCTTTTGCAGGAGGTCTGAGCCCTGGGGTGGGCTTTCAGCCCGCTGCCTCACCTGGGACAGAGGTCACAGGGTGGGTGGTCTTGCAGTAGGGCCAGCTGGGTGTGGGGGCTGCTCCCTGGGGAGGAAGGGAGCAGAGAGACCAGGCCGGAAGCACGTGTGGCCATCTCTCCAGCAGCTTCACTGGCCTCAGGGATGATGCGCCCCAGTGGGGGGCCTGGGGGGAAGACACCTTGGTAAGGGGCCTCAGCCACCAAGGGAACCCAGATACACTTGTCCTTCTGGATCCTCCAGCCCCTTGGGTAGCCTGAAACCACTTCTCCAACTGTGGTTCTAGGAGCAGTAGTGTAACCTCCCCCGGGACTGGAGGGAAAGTCCCGGAATCTGCATGTACCCTGGCTCCCACGGGGTGCTGGACCACACCCATTGCACACCAGGCTCCAAGGCACCCGTGCAGGAAGTGTCCCCAGAGGACAAGCCCGGGGGGAGAGCCAGGAACCATTAGAAGGCCACCTTGGGGAAGATGCAGGGAGAACCTGTGGCTTTGGCCAGGCCTGGCCTGCGAGCCCTCCCTGCCAGGGTCCGGGCCCCTTCTTCCCACCGAGTTGTCAGCACATTTGGTGCTGTCTCCACGCATAAATTCATGGACCAGCTGTCTCTTTTAATCTGGTTGCGAGATGAAACCATTAATAGATGTCAGACACATTGGCAATGATCTCTTCATTAATAATTTCCTCCTTTCTAAGGAAAAAAATTAGTAACAAGCAACCATCAATAATTCAAAAATACAAGTTAACCTTTCTATTAGCAGGTGGCTCTGCACGCACCGCGGGCTCCCGCAGAGCCCACAGGCCCGGCTCGAGCACTGTGTCAGTGGCAGGAAGTTGAACGGGTATGAATGGTGTCAGCCAGGGCACACTCAGAGCTCAAATGCAATGCGGGAACGAGAAAGAATGTTCCAGTGTAATCTCACGATTTCAACCATTCTGCTCTGGAAAACTGCATAGCCGCCACTGATAAGACCACATCCAAAAGCAGCACTTGGCAGGGGAATCCTTTTTCAGCTCGAGTTCTTTGTGGTTCGAGAGATTTTCCGCACACTGAACCAACTGCCGGGTCCTCCTTCCAAGCTGGCTGCTGGCTTTACGGACACAGGAAATGGGCTGGTCACCCCTGCAGGCCTCTCCTCTGTGTCTCTTGCTGTGTTCTCAGAAGACAGTCCTATGAGGAACTGTTATGTAGGAAAGCAGGAAGCCAAGATCAGCCTGCACCCAGAGCACAGAGAGAAGGACAGAGAAAGAGTCAAAGGGGGAACTGAAGAAGATGCAAAAGGACACTGTCGTATGCTAACACAGTTAAGTGTGTGTGTGCATGTGTGCGTGTGTGTGTGTGTGTGTGTGTGTGTGTGTGTGTGTGACTGCCTGGCTGTCTTATGCATGCTTTTCTTTATGGTTAGTTTGGGAAGACGTGGTAATGAAATAGAGTCATAGATTGCTAAATGATGTTGTGGTCCTTGAAGAATCAGGAACTGTGTTGAAGGTCCCAAAGGCATAAGCTAGACCATAAGTCGGTGTGGTTCTGCTCTGTGATTTCACACAACGATGCAACCACCTAGTGATGCATTTCTTAGGATATAACTCTGTTGTTAAGCAACACGACTTTATAGTTCTCATGACTTACACCCCCAGCAGCACTTCAGCACTGTCCTCCCGTTGTTCATTGATTTTCTCAAGCGGGCACCAGTAACGTCTCCATTGTGAGACTTTGTTGTTACTGTTTTTGGCATATCGACTATGTCACGGGGAGCTTGCCAGGCTTTGCCGTGCAGGCGGAATACTCTCAGGAGTTTACCGGCTCTCCGAGAGGGGTGGAAGAATCGAGCCCAGGTCGGCCGCATGCAAGGCAAACGCCCTACCTTCTATGCTATGGTCTCTAAGACGATAAACATAAATTTAGAGTCTATGATCACTTTATTCACTAATATATACATAGTGATTAACACATTGTAGTCATTGGTGTTTTAAAGTACTCAGAAAAAAACAGGTTTCTTACCCAGTACTGTGCTAGGTGACATATATTTTACTTAGTTCTCACAAGAACTAAGGCAGTTTACCATCTCTATTTTACAGATATAGTATGTTGAAAGACCTAAGATTTGAATGCACAGCAGACTCCAATATTCATGCTATATACCTGCTTCTTAGACTAACTGCATTGTTTTTTAATAGCTTCAGTAAAGAAAGGGCTGAAGTGATAGCACAGCGGTAGGGCAATTGCCTTGCATGCAGCCAGCCTGGCTGAGCCAGGTTGGATTCCTCCGTCCCTCTTGGAGAGCTCAGCAAGCTACCCAGAGTATCTCACCCGCATGGCAGAGCCTGGCAAGCTACCCGTGATGCATTCGATATGCCAAACACAGTAACAACAAGTTTCACAATGGAGACGTTACTGAGCCCGCTCGAGCAAATCGATGAACAATGGGAGGACAGTGCAGGACAGTGCAGTAAAGGAAAAAAAATCTTTTGCAAAACTCTCTCCTTCTCACCCCATTCCATGCCCCCCCCCCCAAAAAAAACCTCCAGCGAAGACAGTGATTGGCAGGTTTGGAGCATGCTCTGTTTCCTGAACCAATCAGTTTGGCCAGGAAAGTGATGGGGAGGGCGGAGCTCATTGGCCTTCACTGTGGAAGGGCTTGGGGAGAAGCATTTCCTCCGGGCCTCTTGAGGCAGCCAGGTAACCACTGTCCACCTCACTCATGCATCGAAATGTCGATGAGCTGCTTTAATAAGCAATCTATAAGGGCTGGAGCGATAGCACAGTGGGTAGAGCATTTGCCTTGCACGCAGTTGAGCCGGGTTCGATTCCCAGCATCCCATATGGTCCCCTGAGCACCCCCAGGAGTAATTTCTGTGTGCAGAGCCAGGAGTAACCCCTGTGCTTCACCAGGTGTGACCCAAAAGGAAGTAAAGTAAAGTAAAGGCCCTCCCGTTGATCATCGATTTGCTCGAGCGGGCCCAGTAACGTCTCCATTGGAGACTTTGTTGTTACTGTGTTTGGCATATCGAATACTCTTGGTAGCTTGCCCGGCTCTCCGAGAGGGGCGGAGGAATCGAACTCGGGTCGGCCATGTTGGCTGCGTGCAAGGCAGATGCCCTACCCGCTGTGCTATCGCTCCAGCCCACCCAAAAGGGAAATATATATATATATATATATAATAGCAGTGTTTCTCGGTCTTCCTTCTGCCATGGCCCCTTCTAACCTTATTTATTTCCTTTCTGTGGGCCCCTCTTCTATCAGTTTCCCCCTCAGTCTTATACTACACCCCCCTCCATTTATGGAATTTTCACCTGTGGCTTCTTGGGAGATCCTGGTACCCACAGGTGGATGGAGGTGTATGCCCCCAGCTGACTTACTCACCTGCTCCCCTCCACCCAGCAGCTCACTCAGCTCCCCCACGCTGAGCACAGCCTAGGTTTTCTGCACAAGCTCCCCTGACTCTGTCCCAAAACATGAATGCCATCCTCCAAACCTTTCCCACCTACCAGCCACTCCATAGGTAATCCAGCAGGAAACACATCGGCTCCTTCTGTTTCCAAAAATGGCCTTTTTAAGAAGTCTTTTGCTGGACTGCACAGAAAGACATTTCACCCAGGATAATAACAGCAAATTTTCCTCCAGCCTCCCGGACCTGAGCAAAAAGCAGGCTGGGAGCAGAGGACGAGCGAGCTCACAGGGCCGGTTCATGGGCTTGAGCAGCCAAGACAGTACACGGTTACTCGGACGGTTCTCACATCAGATGAAGTGTTGATAGATCATTATTCCTACAAGCCCAAAAAACAGAGCTAATAACTCGAGGCAGAAGGAGAATGGGTTTGTTTAAATGAACATGAAGAATGAATGCCACAATTCTGGGGGGTGAAAAGTTGGAGAAAATGACCATCTGGGAACACAAAACTCATCTGATCTCAGGACTTTGCTCTGGTCCAGCAGATTTAGGAATCGGTGTGAGGACTGACTGTGCCCTGTGCTTTGGGGAAGGGGGCAAAGGGCAGGGGAAACTGAGTTATTCCTTTCTCCCGGAACCCCTTTTATCACCGTCTGCCCCTGAAGCTGAAAGGCTGTTCACCTTGGAAATTTTCCACTTGCCTCTTTGTCCCTGCCTTTACTGAAATGTTTGATCCAGGCACAGAGCTAAAAGCCTGGGGTGTGTGTGTGCTCCCTTGTGATCCTCTCATGATTTCCCAGTTCGCAGGGGAGGAGACCGAGGTTCACGGGGTTGGTTTAACATCCTGCTGTCCCTCGACATCTGGGCCTTTTAAAATCACTCAAATCATGCCTCCATCCACAGACCAAGGATATCAGAACTAGGGAACTTCAAGACCTACCATCTCAATTTTTTTTTGTCCTTTACAGACATTTCAAGAGGGCATGGCTAGTAAGCAAAAATCCATAAATTCCATTCACCCACAAGACAGGACTCCTGTAATAAATTCTGGACCAGGTACTCCTCAGAGTGGAAGAATGTGATGTTGTCATTTGGGTTGATTTTGTTTCTTTCAGGCTTTGCTTTCTAAATTTGCCAGGCCTTCCCTGCCCCAGGAAGAACTGGAAGGTGACAAGACGAGGGAGTCCCCAGTGGTCCCCGGACTGGCCCAGATGGATGCTCTTCAGTATTCAACTGGCATGAGAGTCTATGCATTGAAACAAGAGATTTCTGGGGCCAGAGCAATAGTACAGTGGGTAGGTCATTTGCGTTGCATGCAGCCGACCTGGGTTCAATCCCCGGCATCCCATACAGTCCCCTGTGCACCGCCAGGAGTAATTTCTGAGTGCAGAGCAAGGACTTGCCCCTGAGCATCACCGGGTGTGACCCAAAAAAGAAAAAAAAAGAAACAAGAGACTTCTAGTTCCCCTTCCCCAGGAGAACACTGAGGGCCCAGGAATGTGCTAGAATAGCATCCTTCAACCTTTGCCCACCAAAGGGCTGGCACGGGTGGGTGGAGCTCACTCAGCTAGAGTGTTATTGCTGGGGGTTTTGTCACTCCTCACTCATCAGGTGTCTTCCTTCTTGATAGGACTCAAGAAAAACAAATCAGGAATTGACAAATGTTAAATATTTCCCTCCTGCTAATCGTGCTCCACCCCGCCTAGCTCTTCTCCTCTGGCTCTCCTAACATGAATTTACTTTCTATTTGAAAGCCAATCTCACTGGTTATTAGATATTCTCCCTGCTGTCACTATCAGTAAATTATTAAACAGCTGACCAAGCTTTGTTTTAAAATGATTCTCTGATGAAGCCCGGTGATCCGTTGGCCGTGAATACAGAATGGCACCGTTGGTCTCCACGGACTAGGAGTGAGTCCTATTGACTACCTGTAACAAAACGTGTCTGCAATTAGCAGCCAGGACTGGAAGTGGAACTGCAGTTACGAGAGACGCCGGCAGCTCATGTCCATGAAGTTCTCTTTACTCACTAGACTCCCAACTCAGGGAAGAAGGCGAAGATTCCAGAGCACGGCACAAAATTGCTGACAAACTTGTCTTTTGTCAACCCTCACCTACCCCTTGCCTTGCCCGCCCCAGCCTCGACGTGCCTGTAGGGATTCTCCTCTGTGGTTTCAGGGAGCAGCTGGTTTTGAGTGAATTTCTGTTTCAAGCAAAGAAAGCCTGACTGGAAGAAAATGATTTCACCTGTTCATGTCTTCAGAGGCGGCTGCCAATCCTCCCTCATGGGCTCCAGTAGGAAACCCGAAGGTGAAGCATAGTAGTGCCTGGTGGATGGTCCTCAGAGCAGACTGGGCACGTGTTCTCCCCCCCCCCCCCCACCATCCCCCACCTTCCCCTTATGTTCTAGTTAGACAGATTCATCTCAAAGTCCCCTGAGCCAAAGAGGCATTTATTGCCTTCCGTCACTGACCAGTGCTCACCTCATCACGACCTACTAAGGGAGAACAAACTGCTTCAGGTATTTACAACAGAGACGATTTCAATCAGGAGACCAGCTGAGGGGAGGAGAGACTAAGTGCCCAATTTGGGATAATAATGTCCTCAGAAACAGCACCAAGGAGGCCAGAGAAATTACATGGCAGGTAGGACACTTGCCTAGCATGTAGCCAACCCCGGGCTCCATCTATGGCATCCCAAATGATCCATGAGCACTGCCAGGAGTAATCCCTGAGTGCAGAGTCAAGAGTAACTCTGAGCAACACTGGGTATGCCCCCACCCAAAAAAGGAACAGTTCCAAACCCCAACAGCAGTGTTCCCTGCCAGGATTGTGGCCCCCAAACAAAAATAATACATTAAAAACAAGAAAGTGGTGGGAATTCACAAAGGTGGGTGTTCTGTAGTTGTGCTGAGAGCTTTTACTTTGAGGGAACAGACCTTTGTCTATTTCGTCTATTTCTTGTTTACTGGGAGAACACAAAGGCTTCATCAGTGTTTCAAAGTATAAATTCATGAGGGTCAGAGAAATAATATTGGGGTTAAGGCACTTGCCTTGCACAGAGTGGACCCCAGTTCAATCCCTGGCACCACAGATGGTCCCAAGATCATCACTGGGAGTGATCCCTGAGCATAGAGTGAGGAGTAAGCCACCAGCACTCTCAGATGTCCCAGAAACCAAAAATAATAGTAAAGTTTACAATAAATAATAATAATAATAAAATTCATGGAAGATTACAACTTTTTTATTTTAAATTTTATTTTTATAGTTTTTTCATAATAATCACATTCTGAATTCCAACACCAATCCCATCACCATTACACCTTCTCACCACCATTATTTCTAATTTTCCCAACCGCCACCCAAGCCTACCCCAATTCCAGGCCCTAAGTAATTTATTTTGTATTGCTTGTTATGAATAATCTGCTAAAAATTATCCCAAAAAGTTTCCTTAGGAGAAAGTGTGTGAAGATTGTTGAATCCCAACCTGGCGTCATTAAGTCCTTGTAGAAGAGATTACTAACATGTTGTTACAGGTTGAGCCTTGTAAGCTAATATTTTTTTATCAACATCACTTGCTTTCTACTTTACACCCAGTCCACTGTGGTGTGTTACTCTTGGTACAACAGTGGTGGAGAGTATGTCACACAGCTAGCTGCAACTCCAGGAATTCTAAACTTGTAAATAGGATGGTACAGCTGAAGTTAAATTTTTAACTGGATGGTGACTTTGGGTCTGGAGGCATCTCTGCAGCTTGTTGATCTCTTCTAAGATATATTTGTGAGCCTCTGGATCATGGCCATTAATGAGCTTTTATAATACCAGAGGCAGTTTGTGGGCATGACTACCAGGCTCCCAGAAGAACAGGGAAATGGGAGGAAGTTGCCCATCCCTGACTCCGTGAGATCCTGGAGATTCCAGTCACAAAACCCGCATACCTGAGTTTTTCAACAGATTCACTCATGCTTGAGGCTTGCCCCGAGCCTGTGGAGATGGGCGGTAAGCATGGTGGCAACTGAAAGTTTACAACCTCTTAATAAGCAAATTTCTCCCCTCTGATAGAATTCAAGAAAAAAAATCAGGAAAAGACAAAGGTGAGCTCTTTCCTTACTGGTTAAAAGACTGAGAGCAGCAGGGGGCGGGGGAGATGCTTGGAAGATGGAAAAATCACCCAATGCAGAGCAGAGGGAGAAATTCCTTCTTTGCTCTCTCCTCTGCACATCATCCCTGCCTCCCATCAGCCATGCCCAGCCGAATACTCGCACAGCCAGGAATCTGGGAACGTACGACCTCAAGACGACGAGTTCCAGACTTAACCATGAGAAACTACTGCCTCCCTTCCTGAGCAAGGTCCCCAACTGAAGTGGTTTGCCCTCACTTGCTTAAACTCGCCCTGTCGTTCTCTCCCCAGAGGCTGTGATCAGCCCTGACTGCGGTCATGAGAAGTTTCAGGAGTCCTGGCTGGGATGTTGGTCCTTCCGTTATTGCTCTGTATTCCCGAGAATGTCCCCCGAGGTTTCTGTGACGGACCCAAATATCCAGCATGAAGCTGTCGGCGTGGGGATGGGTTTCTAGATGCCACATGAGGAGGTAATGACAGAGAAGTGGTCGGTAATGACAAAGAGGCTGCATCTCAGGGCTCAGCACCAGGCAAGGATGGGGTCAGGGATGCCCCGGGAGTAACTCAAGAGAAGCCAGCACTGCATTTACTTGGCTTCCCTTGAAAAGCAGATACTGAACTGTTCGGCAAGGCCCAGGTGCAGAGGCTAGTTCGGATAAGCCAGTCCAGTATTTTAATGAATGATCCTATGTTGAAGTAGGCTCTGAACACAAGACGACTCTAAGGAGAGGCTGTTGAGGGGAGACTGAGCTGTCAAGAGTCAGTGCCCCTCATCTGCAAAGGGTTTATCCACCTGACCATGCATTTCTCCTCAATCCATGGGGCCTCGGGTGAGAGCACTTCCTATCTACGGGGAAAAGAGTTCAGTCTGCAGAATCAGTCTCTCGATAAGGCAGAAATTACTGAAGTAACTTTAGGCGATGCAAAGGCATTTTTAAATTTTTTTTAATTACTCAAAGACCTGATTAATTATCTATCCCATGAATCAGAGGCCAAAGAGGGATAAGAAAGGGTGGAAATGGTTACCATGGCAAGGCGAAGGGAGGATTCGGCCACTTTCCAGAGGAAAGCCAGCCTCTGTGACTAGGTAGTTGAGAGTTTTGTGTCCTGCGGGTCACTGGACTGGGTGTTAGGAGATGCGGGTTCCTGGCCTGTCCTCTTCACTGCCCCATGATGTCCTGGACCAATTCCTTTTTCTGTGAAAGTAGTGGGGTTCGGGGTGTGAGGGAGAAAAGGGGCAACAGTGGCTGGTCTCTGGGCCCCTGTTATCACTCTGTGAAACGTGTTCATCAGACGATGGGTTTGTAGAGGCCCTGAGGGAGCTTGTTGTGGGACAATTACAACCCAGGGAAAGTGGATAAGGGAAGGGATTTCATCTGGAGTAGGGTGGGAAGCCTTCCTAAAGTTGATGAGGAGGGGAACAGACCGGAAGTGAGGCAACACAAGACATACCAGGCAGATGGGTTTGTGCCTCAGTACATCTGTATGAGGGTGAGGGAAGAACCAATGCCACTCACTCAGTCCCTCACATCTCCCTGTGACCCGGGTCTGCCTTGAAGGAGACCTTGCCCAGATGACAGCCACTGATGGATATGTTTGGATGATTACACCAGAATATTCTGGAAGCAAAGACACTGTCCAGTTTGACATGGCAAGCTGTGTGCCAAGGTAAATCCTCTGCCCCCCAGCTGTGAGACTTTTGCCTCAAGTGTGTGGGCTTGATGGCATTGGTCAGGCCGTGATTGTCTTACCTCAGACCAAGTGCCCCGCACCCAACCTAGTACCCTGAGTTCTGTCAGGGTCCAGTGGCGTTTGTCTTATGAGAAATTTCCTGTCAACACGAACAATGGAGTCCCTCCAGGAGCTCACGCTGCAGCCCTGCCTGGGCACCCTGCCCCCACACCCCACCCCCTAGAGCTCAGTGCAGAGGCTAAGAGCATGAGCCCTGCAGCTGCATTATCTGGCTTAAATCCCTGCTCAGACACTGATGAAGAGACGGGTGTTAGAATATGATATGACTGAAACCCAATCATGAATAACTGTAACTGTACCTCACTGTGATTCAATTAAGAAAAACAAATAAATTACTTTCAAAAATTCCTGCCCAGTCGCTCACTGGACCATGGCCTTGGCTGGGTCATAGTGCCTTCCCGTGCCTCTGTTTCCCTCTATGTCAAAGGCTTTTTGTTATGAAAATTAAAGTGAGGTGCCGATACACGGTAGATGTAATGTAGAGAGAAATAAACAAGTATGTTGTTACTTAATATGGTAATTCTTGGGATCACTAAGTCAATGATGGTTGGAGTGATCGCTCGGGATGGGAGATGTGTGCTGAAAGTAGACTAAGGACCAAACATGATGGCCTCTCATTATCTGTATTGCAAACCTTAATACCCATAAGTAGAGAGAGAATAAGAGGGAAACTGTCTGCCATAGAGGCAGAGGGAGGGGGTGGGACAGGGTGAGGAGGAGTGATACTGGGGACATTGGTGATGGAAAATGTACACTGATGGAGGGATGGGTGTTCAATCATTGTATGACTGAAACTCAAACATAAAAGTTTTATAACTGTAGCTCACAGTGATTCAATAAAAATTAATGATAAATAAATAAATATATATATTAATTCTCAGCCAGGAGCCATAGGGCCCCCTGTGGATCCTCAGGATATTCCAAGGGAGCCGCAAATAAGAGTCATATCAATGGAGGTTGACCAAAGGATACTCTGGAGCCAATCAGTGGGGGTCTGTGGGCTGCAAGGGAAGGAATCAAGGCTGGCAGAGAGCCCCCGTGGAAAAGAGATTCAATATGTCTTTCTTCAGTTCTGTAGGATTCAGTTGCCCCATGACTGAAATGGAATGATATTCATTTACTCAACCAACATTTACACATATCCTATTCAGTGCCAGTCACCACTGTGGAGGCTGCTGACGCCACACTAAAGCAAGATTCCCAGTGCCTGAGAGTTTTTGTCCTCATGGCTGGTGGGCACAGGACAACCCAGTAAACATGGGATGCGGAAAACATGAAAAACAAAACATGAGTGTGTGCTCTCTAAGATACAGTGAGTAGGCAAGTCCTTTCTGGGCTGGTGGCATTTGAGCAGTGATCTGTGTCCATGGAGCGAGTGATTTGGAGTCAGAAAGTGGATGCTTAGCCATGGGGAGTCACAGATGCAAAGGGCATGAGGCAGGACTGTGTGGGACACATGTGAAAAACAGCAGTGAGTCACTGGGACTGGAGAAGAGAAGAGAAAGTGGCAGATGAGAGTCCCAGAAGAAACCCAAGGATGTACCACATAGTTTCATGGGCCATATGAGGACCTGAACGTACTGTCCAGGTAACTGAAACCATCAGCAGGAGTGGAGGCAAGAGCGATAAAGTCTGATATGTGTAGAATTGACCTGGGGAGGCTCAGGAAAGAGACAGTATTTGAGAATCCGGCAGAAAGAGATCATGTCATACTCAGGAGAGCCAGGCAGGCTGGGAGGAGCCTTGCAGATGTCTGAGGGAAGAAGCCAGTATTTCAAATCAAGCATAAGTGGCAAACAGGGCGCTTGGGGCCCCCTTTGTTGCAGTGGTCACACATTCACTGGTTCAGGGGCTCTCCTTGGTTGGCGTCCGAGGTCCTCGAAACCCCAGTCCTGGAGAGCGCTCCCTGCGGGCAGTTGGAGGGACATGGTTAGGAAGGCATTCCTCTCGTTTGTCTCCATCCATTCGGAGATTCGGAGATTCAGAGCCTGTTTGTCCTTGCAGTGGAGGCCGAGCCCTCCAACTGCGGTTCCTCTGACAGGCAGGGATGAGTCACACAGTTGGGGCATGATAACACACCTCTGGCAAAGCTGCTCCAGCCATGAGCCAACTTCACACTCAAACACACTGCTCATTCAAGCAACCCTCATACCTATGCGTAAATCTGTATATGTCCCTCACGGTCATCTTCAAGAAGAAGACCTTGGCACTTCCGCCTTGTGTGTCCAAGGTCCTCAATGTCCCAAAGGAAAAAAAAAAAAGAAAATAGAAAACCTGAACTCAACTCCATTTTGAGTTGTGACATCACCCCCAAAGAATGGCCGCAAGCTCCGGTATTAATGTGGTTCCTGGACCTGGGCTGTCCTCATTTTGGAGACTTGGTGTTCCACATTCATTTATTTCATCTTCAAAATAGCCCATCAAAAAAATAGCCCATCATTATCCTGATAATTCCCCCATTAACCTGACTTCTCCCAAGAGCCAGTATCCACTTCAACAGCCACCACTGCCAGCTCCTTTGGGCCAGAGCAGAGTCAGCAGTTCCTCCTACCCAGGGACTGCACCCACAGCCCTCTGTCAAGGAAGGATGGGACTGGGGCTGTACATACCTCTTCACCCCGTAGTTGCATGCTTTACTTTGATATGCATAGTTCAGAGTCCCCTGGATCAAACTCCAGACACCCACAATGGTGGCTTGCTCGGTAACTCATTCACTGACTCCGTCTCTGTCCTCCTCCTTGATTTTCACGCTCCAATTTATGCTCCTAAATTCATGTCTGGGGGTGGGGGGGCTGACTCCTGAAGGACCCCAGCTTAAGTGAAAGCCCTGAGAATATGAGAAGTGCCATATTATCACCACTACTTGGTAGCGGAGAAAGCTGGAACAGAGGGACTGGCACTCTTACCCAGGGTCGTGGGAATGGCACATAGCAGATGGTTCAAATGCAACCTCCGCTGGGCTCCAGAACTCCGTTAACCCAAACCCGCTGCCCTCCCTACCCCCTCACTTGGGCTGGAAACTCAACGCAGACCACGGAGCCCTTGGTCGGGTTTAATCAGCTTTGCGAGACACACAGATTGGTGAGGTACATGGGTTCATCCATAACCTCGTCTTCGGAGATCCAGCCTGTAATTCAGAAGTGTGTTTGAGAAGGTATTTGATGTGATTTTCAATGCAGCAGCAGCCACATGGTGATCCATCAGCCCGCTCTCGTTGACAGAGAATTGATCTCCCAGGTCAGGAAGCAAACCTCAATTTACGTAGGATGCACTTGGAATGCACCCTCTCAGTTGCACCCGGAAGATAAAGCAGAGTCAATGACAGTTCTTGTCAATGAGTTTGTTACGGCATGAGGGGAGAGGCTGACAGAGAACTGCTACAGACACTCAGCTGTATGTTGTTTTTTTTTGGGGGGGGGGGAGGGGGAACGGTGGCTTGGAGGGGGCAATAGTGATAAACATTTGGCTTGGGTCTTTTAACCCGGCCTGTCAATTCCATGATGTTTCCATGTCCACTTTGATCCAACCCTCTTCGTCCAATAGTACAAAAGCAAGATGAGTACTTACTTAATTCCCAACCCATCAGCCATTCTTTTTCTTTCAAACTAGATCTCTCTGATTTTTCAATTTTGTTCCGTGTCTGGATGAGTAATTTAAAAACCAGGAGGTTGGTGAAGTCTGAGCTTCCTCACTCAGGATTTCTTGCCTTCACACAAAAAGAAAAGCC